GTTCTTTGCCTATTAGTGTGAAAACAGTAAGTTTGAGTGAGAAGTAGAAACCGGGTGGAGTGTTCAAATTCAGGACTGTTTTCTAGTTTTTTGGGCTGTCAGGTAATTGTGATTCTTGATGTTACGCTCTATGCACAGTGCCCGTGGAGAAGGCCCCCGACGTCGGGGGCCCAACAGTCTTCGCAAGTGTGTTGCGTTTGTGTGATTTTTGTGTCACAAAGGTCTACAAATGTACACAAAGGGCAAAGATTGCATGAACATCACCTCAGCTGAACTTCATCAGTCTGAGTCAAGGCTCACGCAGAGTAGGAGACAAGCAGCCCTCAACGCTCAGTATTACTGACTGAACGTGCAGTGTTCCCTACTGAACACCTGGAAGCTCCCTATGGACTATCTTTGCCCTGAGAAAAGCTAGTTACCCTCACCGTTCCCTATTGGCAAGCCAGCTCACTCGTCCCAACACAACTTTATAATAGCCCACTAAATCACCCAAAACTTCACCCATTTCCTCAGCCAATCTTTGAGGCAAATCAATAACAGCTATTCTACGAGGTTGAGTAGAAGCTATTTTTCAATTTTGGGAAAACTAACCAGCTTGATTATAAGAATTGAGTCAATTGAGTTGATTTACCACAGCCTGTTTGACCAATAACTCAATCCAAACAGCGCATGGTCAAAAAAATGCTCATCCATTCGATCGCACTCAAATAATGAACTTTCAAGCTCGATGATTTTGATTGTAATCATGAAGTCTTGCTAACAAGTCGGGCTTTACTTCATATCAAATGTCTTTTACCATGGTCAACCTCGATTGGGTTTACTAAGGAATCTTTGGTGAGATTCTTGAAACAGTTGGAGGTTGAAGTGGACACCAACTTGACTCAGGTTTGTTCTCGCGACATCTCCATTGAGACCTCCTTGCAAACGATTCCATTCTTGATTCCAGCGCACATCCTTTTTGAATTGACAGACCTCTGGTTTATGTTGTTTGAACTTCGAATGGCTCAACCAATAGTTGAAGGATTTACCGAAGCATGCAAGCTTCAGCACCACCTCTTCTCAACCACCACCCACGGAAACTAGGACAGAGCCACAATCAGGTTTACCTGCTTTCATCCCGACGCACAAAGTGCGAGAACAACCAGGTAGGTATCATCCGCCGTTGATTTGTGTTCATCACAATTGCTACGAGGATCCAGCCTGATTTGAATAATTTTGTATATGTAGGAGGAGGCAGCGCACAAATTGTGTCTCTTTTCGGTGCTTCCTCTACCGATGTATCAGAAGCTTGGCAACCTACTCCAATCCCAACGGCTCCGCTTTTAACACGCATTGATAGTAACAAAGCAGATGATCTCCCTCACCCTGCAAGTACCACTTATTCTGAACTCGACATTACTAATTTGATCAAACAAGACTCCATCACTGATTGTTCAAGGATGGTGAATCCTGATGGATCAGCCTTTGTACCCACTCAAAAAGTTAAAGAGCCCGTTGGTGGTTGCTCCACAATGGGCTCGATCTTGGGTGGCAATTGATTATCACTCTCTAGAATTACATCTTGTAGTTGGTACCTAAGATCAAGTCTTTGAATCATCAGTAGAGCTATTTTTGACTGCTCAGGAGCAGAATCAATATGACTGAATAATCCTCCTGGTGAATCTAAGAAGAATAAAGTCAATGCTAAAGCTTTAGTTTGTTTTTCGTGTTTTTCTTGTGAGTTTGATTATGGATTATTGACTTCAGACTGAACTGGTTGAACCACCAAATAGTGAAATCCCACTAAAGAATGATTGACTTTGATATTTTTGAAAAAGGATTAGATTCAAGTCGAAGTCAGATTAATTAGATATAGAATCCTAACGTGTTTGATTGTTGTTGTGAACCACACATACTGAGTTGACTTGATCATTGTTCTTGTTGGTAGTTCTAAGTGGTAGTGTTGGTGGTTGGTTGGTTGGTTGGTTGGTTGGTTAATTTGGATTGAGCCATGAAAAACATTTGATTGAACTCCAACTCAAATCTGCCTGAGTCCATACATACATCTCATCAAACACCATGCCTTAAACACACGACTTTTGTTTCAAAATATTCAATTCTAGTGATTTCAATTTCAAGCAGCTCAAACACGACTTGCGCTTCTACGTCAATAAAAATCTATGTGAACAGGTATACATCATTTATGAACACAAGCCTCATAAAACCCAAAACAAAAAAGGTGAAAATCAAACTAAACAGAAATAACATCCAATGAATATATATAATCTAGGATATGTTTATATACATACCTTACACTAGGAAATTAATAATCATTAACCAAACTGAATCATGAGAATTATACAGAGAACTAAAATAAGAAGTTTCAAAAAGTTTCTTGTAAAAACCTCCAGATCTACGCAAAAAAAGAACAAATCAGTCAACAAGTCAGCTATCCTCATTTCAAGATTTAATAGAAGAATGAAAATTCATTTAACTGATTGAGGAATTTGTTGATCTTTAAAAATTATCCAACTTCACAAATTTACCAAAAGATAGGTAAACAACTTAACCCAATCATAGTATACCATAAGACATTTAATTGATTTGACCAGTCTAATATGAAAAGTATAGAAGGTAATATATAATGTGAACCCCAAAAATACGGAAAAATATGCAGATTGGAGATCTCATACCAAGGAACAGGATGCATATTTTTTCACATTTTTTGCTCTGTTTCTGACCTTTCCAGATTTTTGTATACAAATAATTTAATTTTCTGCCCAGAAAATGTTATGTTTCTTGTAGTGTCAAAGAAACTAAAAATTATAAATAAAATTAAAAGTGAAATCACAATTATGAGCAAAATCAGAAAGCCGAGGGTATACAGGTTGTAATCAACCTATGAAAATGGTGAAGTTGATCAAGAATCAAGAAGAAAAGTATTATAAGTGAAAACTGTGCTGGGAAACTCCCCAGAAAGTTCAACAAACACAATGGACAATCTTTGATGCAAAGTTCTGATCAACAACCACAGTGACAACTTTACTTGAAATCATGTTCAAAATTCTATGTGTGTTGGCCATGACTTTGACTGCGAAGTGAGTCAAGTCTTTAGATGAAGATTATTGCTGTGTATCATGCAAGCGACTGTTAAGAGAATTGGTAAGCTTTCAAGAGCTTTTTGATTTGGGAATGTTGATGAATAAACATTACTGACAAGATGGTGAGCGGAATAGGATGACTTGGTCCAATGTTTCTTCAATCAGTTTATTGTCTTGAATCAATCTTGTATTTTTGAAGCTGATCATCGGTCGACTAGATTGAGTGATTGATGAATTGATAGTGTCACAAGAAAGTATTTAGAGTGAGGTATGTGTATTGGAGGAAGCTTGGAAGTGATATTGAAAGACATACCCCATTAACCCAATGAACATAAGTTCCAATCGGTAGTAGACCTTTACTTTAATATTTGACTGCATATGATAATGTAGTGTCACTGAGCTTCGCTGGCACCAGTAATAATTGCGGATAGGTTGAACAGAACTACAAATCCGAACCAACAAATGAAGGTAAACAATCAGCATTTTCAAACCTAGATTTCGAGGCCAGGTTCATTTTTTTGAATAAAAGACTTACACTAAAGTAATTGTTTATTGAAGTGATTCTCCAAGCCTTTTGGTCACCTAGGGAATTCATCCTAGTGAATTCACAAATCAGATCATGAAGATTCCAACCCAATGAATGAGATTTGAATCTGAAGTTGAAGTTGAATTTGAATCCGATTTTGATCCATATAGAAAAGCATAATTAGATAATTTATCTCCTTGTTTAAAATAATGAACTGAAGCTGTGATTGAATTCCAATCTTGTTCAAGTTGAGATTGAGAATTGAAAGTAAAAGTATAAGTGATAAAGTTAACTAAACGGATCAAGATAGTTGGTTCTGGTTGAGATGGAAGATATTGAACGGTGGCGATAATTGCATGTGTAAACTATGATATAGATATTCAATGATCAGTATTAGATGATTATGATGATATGATGATAGGAGTGATTAAGATTAACTCACGCAAACTTCATCATATTTGGCTCAATCGATTGAATTGATTGATTATCAGATGGTTTCCAAATGAGATGATGAGTAGTAAGATGTAATGAACCAATTGAATGATGATTGATTTGATTTGATGAAGTTGATGGATTGGCTTGATGAGATAACTTTTTTGATCTCACTGTTTCTACCTACGGTCATTCCGAATTCGATTCGGGACATTCAGCAACATTGCCCCGTGGTGGCCTTGAGCATATATCTTGACAGATCCCGCATGGGCCATACAATCAGGGCAGGACCGCTCAGCGCAGCTCATCACTGTTGATGAAGTTGGATGATGGCTCAGTGCTCCTGAGGTCAATTCCTGAGTCTGGCTGCTGGGGATGGGAAATCTGGGCAGGCTCAGTGTTCCAATTTGGCCTGGACAGAAATTTCACAGTTTTTTTGATACTTTTGCGCAAGAGCTTTGGGCCCCTGACGTCGGGGGCCTTCTCCACGGGCACTGTGTCATACTTTCTCCAATACCAGTGCATTTTTTTTCCTCCGTTCGACGTACTGCATTCCTCAAGAGGACCACAGCATTCTGCGGCTGTCCCTCAAAAAGATATTGAGTGCCATAATTATAAATAAGTTTCAAAGATTCCAAAGATTCTCTTTGATCGTCTGTTTGCAGGACGCTCCGATCTTTCTCCTTGGTCAACATGAATTTAGGTACATCAGCTAATCCTGCATATTTAGGCATGAAAGTCTGATCGATCAGATTGTACTGACTTGTTGATGAGATATCAGGGTCAGCTGGGTTCGTACCTCAAGATACAGTCGCGATAAATCCTTGAAAAGTGGATGTGAACTTCAATCGTCAGTAGCCTATTAGGACGCCAAACATCCTCGAGGACTTCGTGAGCCGTTTCCGCTTTCTTCAGGTTCAAGTAGCACTGGGTGAGATTAAGGCAAACTTGAACCATATTGGTATCGGGGTACCCTGGAATGCTCTTGGACTTTTGCTCACGATGGAGACACAAGAGCAAACCAAAGCGATGGGCAGCTAGCAGAAAGTTGCGGTCGTTATATGCTCCTGATGCTTGAACATGTAGAGGAGGAAACATTTGTGCTTCCTGCGGAGAAGCTCATGGGTTATTTGCCTTTCCTGAAGTCAAAATACATGCGGGACAAACTGACCGTTGAATTTTCCTTGTAACGCTTGCTTGGATAGCAGGGATCTGCATCACAAGCATCTGGTTTGAGGTTGTCTGGTTCAGTAGGTTCGGCCTGCCGCTTTTTTGATTTAGATAAAACCGCCGGCGAAATTGGGGGACCTCCCACAGAGTCATGCGAATCGAATCCGGTGGAGATGTCCATGTTTGAAAGGTGGATATCCAAAGCGTTATGAGGTTTAGCATCGTCACAAACTGGTACTTATAGGAAATTATCGTGATACACTTGTCGCCAGTATTGACACAGGTGAGTATTGAGGTGATACACACTGATTGGAATCGTTGAGACGCACTGATCAGTGAATGTTGATCAATGCGCAGCATCAGACCAGTCACATAGGGCGAGAGATACAATCAGAAGAGTTGATAGGTTTTTTGAGACTGTTCAGCGTATACCAGTATGGTGATCTGAGCCTCAATACCTTAGGGCCAGTTAAGCTAAGAAGGGTCGCTAAGAAGGGTCGGGCTGACACCCATAAACCTTTGTTCTTTAGCTGATTCGTACATGAGTGATATCGAGAAGTTGAGGAGTCATTGATGGAGCCGTCTGACTTTTGCCTTTCAACGTTTAAGTTGGTTAGCATCATGCGGACGAGAAGAAAGGTAGAAGATGATAAGGCTGATCCCAATTGACTGATCATGGGGGTTACCTGAGTGTGTTCAACCACAAATAGCTTGAGGTTGCTTTTGATATATGTTTTACC